GCACCCTCCTGGCCGTGCTCAGCGCCGAGGGGACCTCCCGGCTCCCTGCGGCAGGTGCCTCCTGGAGCCGCCTTGAGTATCTGGTCAATGTCGGAGCAGGCGCTAAAACAACCCCCTGCCGCTGTCCCGACAAATAAATGTTGGGACACTCACTAAAACTTCATGTAAGCAGCCCTTCTGATGTGGTTTTACATCTCACAAGTTTCCTTTTTGAGATCTTTTTGAGACTTTTATGGGCACATACTCTGTAGAGCCCTAAAATAATTATATGTTAACTATTTTCAGATACTAAAAATAGTTTAAAAGAAGAGCAAAGGTAGACCAGGGCACACTGACCCGGTTAATCCAAAACTGAGAACTGCTGTGATTAGGTCACCACATTAGCTGTTGCAGGGCTGCACACTTTCTGCACTCTCTCTAGAGAGCCAGGTATTCCTCAAAGCTCACAGCACTCGTCCCACTGCTGTGCAGACAGTGATTTGTTCTTATGATCACATCACAGTGCAGTTTCATGCACTGGAACTTGGGGACAACTTTTTATTTTTCAGCTATATGCATCTAAATTTATAAATTTATTAATTATAACTTACAAAATAAAGTTAAACAAACACTGTGTACATTTTCAATGTAGTCTGCAGGAGAAGTGAAGCAATTTTCTGTGTAACGCTGCTGAAGCCTCTGTTGCAATAGTGCATCTCGTTTGGGGTCTTGCAGTTCAAGAGCAAATGGAGAAAAATAACAGGACATGAGGCCTGTAGAGAATGAACAACAAGGAAAGGTCAGGTTGTGTAACTTAAAGAAGGGAAGATGAGGGAGATCTGTCTGCAAATGCACAAAAAAATGGTGCAGAGGAGGCAGGCAATAAGCTGTTTCCTTATTGCATGTGTAATTAAGGGAATTTAAGATAGATAGAAAGACTAGCTAACAAGCTGGGAAGAGTAGATAGGCATTAAGAAATCCTCTCTAGTAGAAAGTTTATTAAATTTTTGGAATAAGTTGTTCAGGAGTCTTCATCACCAAAAGGCGCTAACAACAGACTAAACAATTGGAAATAACATATATGGCTGCTTTATGATCTTCTGAGAGGGAATAATTTTATATGAGCTCACAAAGTCTCTTCTAAGCTTACAATGGTATGAAAGTTAGGATTGTGAGGATTGTCTTGCAGACGATCGTAGGGGAATTTTTCAGGTCACCAATTCCTCCCACCATGAAACAACAAGCACATAAAAAACAGAGAGTTTTAAGTGAATATGTTGTATTTGCTATCAGATATGTAAGTCTCTGTCCTCTTGCCTGTTCTCAAGTTTGTTTTTTTTTCTCTTGAATGACCTTGCATGGCAATTTTAAGCCAGTGACACAGCAGTAGTCATTCTGGGAGGATATAATACTACTGCCTTTAAATTTGATTCTAGCTCTTGTTCTTGTGTTGAGCTTAGACTTTGTGCTAAGGGCATTTCTGAAGAGCAAGTTGTTTACTCTTGGCACACAACATAAATGAACCTCTTGGTCTCCCTGTATGCTACTCCTAAGCTCCCACAGCAAAAAGAAAACGGAGGCATTGAGAGGCCTCAGGACTCCCTATTTCCTAAGGAAACTGTTTTGCTTTGCATAAGATTTCAGGGTTCTGTTGTTTCAAAGACCCAAATGGAATAAGAGTTGCTTTTGTTTCTGCAATATGGTTTTTATTTTGCAAAAATGCTTTAGGGTTGGCTTCCCATTAAATGTATTTCTTTTTCACTTTGTGATGTAGCATGTTAGTTTTCTTATTGCATAGCAGCTTTTAGATAAAGGTAAGTGCTGCTTATTTAATTTTTAGTGGTATTGAGCAGATACACTCAGAGCTTTTGTGGAGGGACCCAATTTTCACAGGTGTTGAGTCTTTAGTTTTCTGCTGAATTTCTTACTATGTCTGAAAACAGTGAATTTTATTTATTTTTTTCTTGTATGTATTATACTATGCATGTGGTCCTCATTTATTTATTTATTTTTTACTTGAGATCATTCATTTAAATAGATTTGATAGTCAGAAACACACCAACAAGCTATGGCCTTACTCAGAAACTATTGTGGAATCTCTGTAATCCTGTGTAATCATTGATAAGCTCAAGCTGTTAACTACTCTTTAAATATACATTTATTTTTATTTCACTTTCAGTAGTGTTATATGTATTTAAAACCAACTTGTTACGATTTTACTAACAATTTGTATGGGGCATATCTGGAAAAGCTTCTTCTGGATTGCATCTTTCTTTTGCTGCTTCTCTTACAAATCTTACTATACTTAATCTTTTTTTTTGTAAATGTCTTCTTAATTTCTTCTACTTTGCTGTAGTTATAGCACATCTTTTCTGTTTGGATATCTGTAGTGTTGTTTCTCTAGTTTACTATTTCTCAGAGTTAAATGGCCGTTTCTTAGACATCTGTACAGAGATCCTAGGAAAAATAGATTTTTTTTTTTATTCTGGAACTCCCTTCTCTTTTTTGTGTTCCCAAATAGATATATTATTTTTAAACTTTCCAGTGATAAGACTGTCATATTAAAATGAGGCAAGATTTTGCTTGTATAGGTCTTTAATAATACCCAAATCCTAGTCCCAGGAGTCAGTTCTTGGGAATTTTGCCCAGTCTTAACAGATCTTTATGAGATGCAAAATTCCTTTTTGGTAGTTTTAAAATTTTAATTGGTTGCCAGTTTGCTTTTACATCTGAGAAAATCAACTTTAGAGAATCCTTTGTGGATGTAGTTGTTAAGATGCTTTTGCCTTGTGTGTTTTTACTTGGTCTTATTTATCCTGGTTCCTCTGAGGATGTTGGGAGGCCAACACCAGTTTCCTGGGGGCAGTTTCTAATCAGCTTATATTATTTTCATAACGTGCTTGCAGAAAGCACTTTTTGGCTGACTGCATCTTTTGTTGCGACATTTGTTACATACTGTACTTGTGGATCCAATCTCATGATTCCTGCGTGCAAAGAGTGTCCTTGAGCAGGAGATGGGCTGCAGTACCACCGAGGCAGCTGATGCCTGTCTGTCCACCAGCCTTGATAAGCAGCCATGAAAGATTTATGATACTTTGGGATTTTCTGGCTGTTAATTCGTGTTTGCAGCTGGCTTGCTGCCAGCGCGCTGCACAGGTGATCTGTCCATGTGCTGACAGACGGACACACGACCTGCTTGTGCTGGAGTTGCTGTGGGAAACGGATACCTGTGCAAACTGAGGGAGGACTTTGGATGGGTCGTGTTGGCCTTAGTGTGTGTTCATCTGTGCAAGTAGACTGAGCATGTCCAGATTTCTAATGTTTGCTCAAGACAACAGCAATGAATAGGCTAAGTAATTTTATTAGGCATGTGCTTAAGGTTTCACATTCTGCTCGGAAATCTTCCTGGATTTCTTGGGTGGGCAGCTGAACGATGCTTTGGGAACCCTGAGGAGATAGATTCAGAGGATCCTCAGAGGCTTGGTTGGTGTGTACTGCACGTGTAGGAAAGGTTGGTCTCGCCAGCTTTAGACATCTGGCAGTCGGAGGCCAGGTTTGCTCTGCAGTAAATGGAGCAAACCTGAGAACTCCAGATGAATTTCTTGCCTGTGTTTTTATTTCAGGACAGACTGAATCACCATCTGGAGTTTCCTCCAGAGGGGAAATGCAGATGTTTCAGTTGTGGAGTCAACATAGATGCCTAGCATAGGTGAAATAAATTCCTGTTCTACCGGTTGTTGTCACATGTGTTTATTGCTTATGAGAAGACAGGTAATTGCAGCAGTTTGTGGGGTATTCAGTTGTGGCTGATCTCTTGGATAGTTTGATTTTCTAGAACCTTATTTTCATTGGGCGCTTTCTAGAACACCAGAACTGAGGTTTTTTTTCCTAGCTTCATGTGTTATTCCTTGTGCGTTTTATTCTTGAGGCCAGGTGATTAGGTTTGTGCTCAACCTGTTTCACCTGGGGCTGGAAGCAGCCATCCTGCCCAGGTACAGCTGGAGAAACTGCGTCAGCCAAAAAATTGCTTGTCCCTGCTCCTCGGCAGCTGTAGAGGCTGCTTCACTAAGGTAGCTGCCTGTCCTGTTCAGTGCAGATTCTCAGCTCTCCTGATTACTGGCTAAATTAGCCTCTAGTTTTGCTGCAGAATCTTTATTGTCACAAACTAAGCTTACCATTTGATCTTGTTCTGGTTTTATTTATTTTTACAAATGATTTTATGTGTTTAAGTGTATTAAAATTTAGAATCGCCTAGGAAGATTGTTTGCTCCTCCAGGATTTTTACCCAAGATTTAGGATGAGAATTCCATTTATTTTTAAGTCTGTTCTTAACTTTATTTTCAGAGGCCTCAAAAAATAAAGTGACCTTCCAGTGTGTTGTTCCCACAAAGTAAGTATGGGAGTTACTGGTTTAGAAATAAAGTCTAGTTTCTGTTGTAATAACCATCAGGCTCAAGAAACCTCCGTTACTGTTACACTTTCTGGTTAAAAAATAAATTATTTCTGAGTTTATTCTAGAACCAGTTGACAGAGTGATGTAGAGCTCTTCTGTGGTGCAGTACTTACTTAGGGAAGAGACCGTAATATAGTCAGAATTAAGTGTGTGTTTAAAATGCGTGCTGCTTAGAGCCAAGCCAGGCTCTTGTTAAAGAAGCCTTTGGAGAGTCTGCAGCTCCCCCTGGAAATTTGAAAACTTCAGAATCTTTCAGGAGTGCGGCCTGCTTTCCTCTGTGACAGGAATGTAAATCACTGAAAAGTGGGCTTCTTGCCACAAGAGCATGGATTTTTTTTTTCCAAACGGTGACTAAAATCTCATAACTCTTGTGGCAAATGATGTATGAAACATAATCAAAAATATGGTGTCTGATCTATATTGGCAATAATTAGTTTGTTACTGGCAATTGGCTTCACACGATCTCAGAATCTTTAATCATAACAAGTAGCCTTATGCATATAGGATGAAATGCAAAGTACTCTTATAGGAATCCTTACAGTTTTAAGCACAATAATACATTATGGTTCTGATTCTGCAAAGACTTATCTGTGTATTTATATTTTTACTTTGTGATGAGTTTTACAGAAGTCCTTGGGGTTTTCTCCAGGTGGAGTTTAGCATGTTGATAGGCTCTGTGTGGGGAAGCTTGTATCCACATTTTAGCGTCTCAAATTTTTTGAAGTTATTTTTTGTAGTTTAATTGGTGGGTAAGTGTATGTTTGAGGTGAGGGAAGATGGAGTCAGAGTATATATTTTAAAAAACAATATTTGGCTGTGCAGTCTTTAGTGTTGTATTAGTGGTTTGGTCATAGGAATATATTTTGTTTTCCAAGTTAAAACTCTTGTTACATTGATGGTAACTCAAGTTTTGATTTAGGCTTTGTGTAGGATAAAGACTAAAAGAATACTATTCCCTGCCCTACCATTTCCCCATCCTGCTGTTTGTCTTGGAGAAAAAACACTTCCCAGATTCACCTGAGAATTAGAGAAGAAAGTGTTAGAGCTTGGAATACTGTGGTTTCCTCTCCTAGTAGTCCTTTGCTTTTTTTTATTTTTCAATTTTTGCCTTAGGAGTTACAGTTTGCGTGTGGAGGGTGGATTACTCAGTTATTACTGAAGCAGCTGTATTAAATTGTGGTGGTATACTGGAGGGTGAAAGAGTTTAATGTTTTAAAGGAAAATGGAATAGCTTAAAATTAAACCTGACTCCGTTCAACAGGTTCTGTTGCTCTGGTTTCAGACTGTGAGCCCTTCCTACTTGATTATCTTCCTACCACTATGTGCAGCTTTGCCTTTATAAATACCTAATTTAAAAACGGAGTTCTCTAGTAGATTTTGGCTAAGCCTGTAGGGATGGAAAAAAAAAAGGCAAGTAAATACTTATTTCCTCCCCCTGATTTCCTTGTGCCGTAGACTTGCTTTTTTTCCTCTTGTGGATTTCATTCCATAATCATCTAAAATCTTACATTCATGTTGAATTATGCCAACTTTAAGAGGTTTAGTTAAGTTGACCAACTGAGCTGGAGTATGATCTGATCAAATGTTTCTTTAAAACACTTTTCAGTTGATTCCTATGGATTATACTTACAGCAATTTGTTACAGATATGCTGCAAATCAAGCAGGTTTAAACTTTTTAAACACTTTGTGCATTCTAGCTACTTGATCATATGTCTAAGCTAACTAATTTTTTTTGATTAGTTGACAATTTTGTGTATAGAGAACTTATTTTCTGTAAAGCGTTGGGTGCTCTAAGGAACAGCTTTTACCTAAATACTAACTATCAAACCCTGCTTTCTCTCCCTTTGTCCAAAGGCATCGCTGCTTCGGCGGCTTCAGAGCACATTAGTCATAGCGGAACACAACAATGAGACTCTCACGCCCGTTACACTGAACACTATCACGGCGGCAAAACGTCTCGGAGGGGAAGTTTCTTGCTTGGTAGCTGGTACCAGCTGTGACAAGGTAGGGGATCCTATTTTCATATGAATGAAATAATGAATGCAGTCAAATGATATGCGATAACATCTTGGGCGGCCTGCAAAGTAATCTCTAGCGAAGAGGAACTGCCAGCGGTTGCTAATCCACGGGAAATGTCCTGCACTTGAACTGTTCCTTTTCTCAAGTGAGAATGGGGGTATAGATTTCATTTCGCAAGTGAGAATATCACTTAAAGTTGTTAAAAGCTTAAAAAAGCAAACAATATTTTTATAAGGCTAAAGGACAATTAGCTTTAAAAACAGTATTCTCATGCAGTATTTGAAAGAGAAATATTGCAGTGCTAAGAAACCGGGGAGGAATCTTTTTGCAGTGAAACAGAAGCCAGCAGAAGTGGCACGGTGCAGTGACAAACAGAATTTGGGAGCACCTCACTTTTACTTGTTAGCTGCTAGCAGCGTAGTGAGAGCATGTCTGCAGCTTAAAAATCTGAAATTGCTGTTTCTTGAGTTTGTCATATCACTCATGTCTAAAATAGGAATTGCTTGTATCTTTTCTATTGGCCTTGGTTCAGTCTAATGTTCAATACATTAAAAATCTAGAAGTTATTCATCCTTTGGTACGTTAGTGTCGCTCCTATGCCAGAGTGAACAGTACCACAGGCTCATGTGAACAGTAAACTAACAATAATTAAGCCTAATATTTATCTCTATTATTATTATTATTTATAGGATTTAGAAATTATTATTCTGAAAGTGATGTCTAGTATCTCACATGGAAGACATACTCATGGCAGCTAATTTAACTGTAGTTTGAGAAACCTCACTGGCTATTGGAAGATTGATTCTAAACTGAGGCCCTGGTGTTAAAAGTTGAGACCAGAAGCAAATATTTGTCTGGTTCCTGATGGTAATAAAATTTTGGATTTTGCCTGATATGTCTGTCTTTGGGTAGAAAAGCAATTGCATTTTTGTTGTTGTTGTTTTTGTTTTTTGTTTTTTTGTCTATTTGCTTTTAATAGTACTTTGTTTCTTTTGGATAACGTGTGTCATCCTGGGGAAAAGTGATTTTCTTATTTTGTGAATACCTCATAGAAAGGAAATTTCTTTTTGTTTAGAGCTGCTTCGAAAGACTGTGTGGGTAGAACGAAGCAGCCTGTTCCTGGAGTGGCTCTTTTGCAGCAGCTGTTTGGAATGTTTGTTTGTTTCCTCTTGCTAATTTCTGAGTGTAGAGCTGATACTCAGCAAACTCCATAGAGCTTTGCTAGGGCTGGAACAGTGCATGTGGTCTCCAGACACTGCTGTCAGTCCTTTTCCCTCTGATCTGCAACAACCCTTTTATCATTTAAACTTCACTTCTTCAAATTTAAAGGAAAAAAAAAAGCATAAATATAGATTTGAAAATATGCATTGCATTAGTGGGCAAGGAGTCATTTGCAAACAAAGGATTTCTGCTAAAATTTGCACAGAGATTGTAACATCACTGTGGGATTTTATTTGCATTGTATGTTCATGTGGTAGATTGTTACTGATTTTAAAGAAATTGGTTTAGTTTCTTAGTGATTGTATCAGAATACTAAGCAACAATCTTCAAGTGTGACTGCTATTAACTGTCATAATAAATCGTAGGATTATTGCGAGATCCTGTGTACAGGAGGTAAGCTTTCTTATTTTTGCTTTGCTTTGTAGTTTTCTTATTCACAAAATTCATTTGTATTACTCCGCAAAGGGCTGTGCTGGGAGGCAGAAGGTGCACGGCTTATTCTGTCACTTTTGATTTTGAAAATTACGCACTTTTGTGTTCCAGTTTTACATAATCTGTGAGTTCTTTGCAGCAGGGTCTATCTCTTGTTATTTGTTTAAGGTGCGCTGTGGAGCTCTAACACTTTCAAGTGCTGTTATAAATTAATAACAATGCATTTGTAATCATAGGTAGCACAAGAAGTGAGCAAAGTGCAGGGTGTTGCAAAAGTTCTAGTGGCTCAACACGATGCATACAAAGGATTTCTAGCAGGTGAGAGTTATTCTTAACTATGTATTGACAGAATAATTGGCATTTGTGTTTGTGATTGAAAATATAAATAGTTGTAAATCGTGAGCAATATATTTTTATCCTCAGAGGAGCTGACTCCCTTGGTTTTGGAAGCTCAGAAACAATTTAATTATACGCACATTTGTGCTGGAGCCTCTTCCTTTGGGAAGGTAAGCAGTTAAAAAGTGCATCAAAAATTTCTTGTAGAAAAAGAGAGGAACTGTTGCATGTGAATCAAATGCCTGAGGGAGGGTTTTCAGATCAGCCATAGACTGAACAGAGTTTTCAAAAGATGCTACAGTAGTTAATTGAAGAGTTGTCATTCATTAGAAACACTGATTCACTTTTGAATTTTATCATGGACGAACCTGGAGGAGTTAGAATTAAAGAAAGGAGCAGTTTTGAGAAAAAGTGAGTTTCCTTGAGAAAAAGACGAGCTAGTCCTATGTAAACGAGACGAAATATATAAAATATATAACACATCACAGATTGAGAGATCTGAAAACATGAAAATTGTAAGGAAAAATGCAGTAAATGAAGATGAAAACCTATGCAGATAGCTCATCGTGGCTTTATCTTCTTTCTAGATTGTTGGGTGGTTTGCGCGCTGAAATGAAAGTGCACAGATCTGTTGGGACAATACTTTGGGGAACAGGAAAGATTGTGTCTACAATATATATAGTATAGATGGAGTTATCTTTAAAAATATATGCTAATAACATAAATCCATCACCTAGCTAAGATTCTGTATTGAAAATAGTTTTTCACAACTTATTTTTAAGGAACATGTTTTTAAGGATTCAGGGTTCCTTAATACTTGTCATGGTGCAGCTAAATTAGGCAAGAGTACTTTAGAAATCTGCCAGCATGGGGTGAATATGACATCAACCACCTATCCTTCTACCTTCACTGTCAATCAGTATCAATCCTTTTACTCATAAGTTTGCTAAGAGTAATCTTCATATGCTTTAAGTGTTTCCCCCCCACGCCCTTCTTTTTTTTTTTTTTTTTTTGATCCGCAGTGGCTTAGTAAAGATTGCCTGCTTTTATTTCCAAGTTTGTACTCCGAGTTGAGCAGTGCTTTTCTTGAGGAAAGAATCAGTGACTATCTTCCTCGTTGAGTGCTCTTTCATATGAGTAAAAGTTCCAGAACTGGGCCTTTTGTGTTATACCAGATTAGCAGGATTAATTCCTTAGTGCCTCATGTTTCACGTTTTGCCCTTTTTCCTTTTCCAAAGGTGCTAGGTCATTTTCTAGAGTCAATTACAGAATAGGAGAATATATGCTTTAATAACAATTTTAAAATATATTTGACTTTTCTTGGGAGGATTCATTTTTTTCCTGTTGTCTCTGGTAACTAGCTCCCAAAATACTACTATTTTTTTTGCAGTGCTGTTGTAAGAACTCAGCAATCCATAATTGTCAATTTTCTGAGTAAATAGCATCTATATTCAGTTTTAAACTATTGAAGCAAATAAGCCTTCTAATTTAAGATATTGAATTAAGGGTTTACTTACTGTAAGTCTCATAAAATTTCTAATGTTATTAGAGTAATGGATTTGTATTTGGCAGCAAAAACTACATGAGCAGCTCTAGAGGGCTCTGACAGTTGTGCCTTTTCACTCAGACAACTTTTTATGAATTGAAAGTCAGGAAAGCAAATGTTTCTTTGCTTAGCATATAAATATGATCCCATTTTCTTTGCATTTCCTCATGTTCAGTATATCAGCCTTTTACTTTTCTAACTTTTCATCTTTAACTTTTAGAATCTTATTCCCAGAGTGGCAGCTAAACTTGATGTTGCCCCTGTTTCTGACATTATTGAAATTAAGTCGCCAGACACTTTTGTGCGAACTATCTATGCGGGTGAGTAATCAGAAAAAGTATGTGGTATTTGTGCAGTAAAGGACCCAGTGTTGATAACTGTTTTACTCCCAGGTTCTCTTAACAGAGTTCTGTATGTGAAGTGTTTTCAGTGTTGTGTATTTTTACCTTATAATCTAAATTGCTATGGTTCCTAAAAATGAACCATGGAGGTAGACATGATGTTCATGTGTGAGAACAAACAGTACCAACAACTTTGGTACTGTAGGATTTCAGTTAGAAACCAGTTCAGTCAATTAATAGAATTTGGCAACATCCTTTATACATATTGCATTTCCTTGTTAATGCACTTCTGATCAGATTTTGTAAAACGCAAGACATTAACTTAATTGTCTGACTTTATTTAATATGACAAGCATTAGTTCTGAATTAAGATACCACAGGGTTATTTTTCCTGATTATGAAGACACTGGACTGATTATTAGTAATTTTTAATTGACTTAATTTGTAATTTTTTTCAGTCTAGTTTCTCTACTGCTTCTCTGACTCAATGTTTTAATTCAGATAGTAGCTCATTAGCTTGTGTTTCTTAATTTTGTTCTACAAGATTTTTCTTCCCCCAACATGCTATGGTATTTTCAGTTAGATTACCAGTGCGTTGACTTGTATAGCATTTTTATGTTGCTTCCCCATAATTCATAAATTTCGAATTCAACTTCTTCAACTTCATTTATGGGTAGCTGGTATTTCAGCATATTTTTTCTCTTCATTTTTCCCTGCTGCTCCATCTTTAAAATTTTTTAAATGTACCTTTTATAATTCAGATGATGGAAAAAAGGGAAATAAAAATGCACATATTTGCAGGTGGCTTCCTTGTCTTCTACTCTCCTGAAGCCTTGTGACAGATAAAGATCCCACTTCGAATTGTAGACCCCTTTCGTATTTAAGAATATACTTCCAGATGTGTTTTTTTTCTTCTGAAATTTAGAAGCTCATTAATGAGGGTTGATTTGAATGCAACTCTATCCCATAAAAAAGAGCTCGGAAACATTGAGATAGCAAATATTTTTATTTAGTTTTTGTAATCTATGTAATCTATCTTAGGTGTCAAAGTTTCCAGTTTTGGGCATCTAAAACTGCAATTTTAGGAAGTATCTTTCTTAATGTTACCTATTCTAGAAGAAGGACTAATATATTTCTCATAATTATTTTTTTCTATGAAATAAATTACTTCATCTCTTACAAAAGTATAATGTGTTGGTTTTCTTTTTGTTTAGGAAATATACTTTGCACTGTACAATGTGAAGAAAAGATAAAAGTATTTTCTGTACGAGGAACTTCTTTTGAGGCTGCACCAGTAAGCGGAGGTAGTGCCAGTGTAGAAAAGGGTGAGCATTTGTTTTCAAACTCTCCTATTTTGTGTGATAGAGTTACTTTTGCTCCGTGCATGCTGATGTTTTGCAGAAATACTTGTCATATGAAACCACTGATTGTAACCATTATAACTTTAATATGCAGACTTGCGCTTTTTAGCGATGCAGAGTAAGGACAAATTGTCTGCTCACTTCCTACATTCTCTCTGACCAGACATGGAGATTATCTGTACTGAAACATGTGCCCTTTACACTTGCTGCTTAAACATTTTCTACAGCAATCCTGAGACTTCTCTTTATTTTCTTGCATCACAGAGTAAATAAGTACAACTAATGAGAGGCTTGTAACTCAGAGCCATAAACTAATTATTGATAGTATTTAAAAAGGTCATGATAGAATCAGTTCTTGAATGAGCTGTATTTGAAAACTGTATTAAGTTAAAGGTCAAAGTTAGAAGACTGAAAATGCTTTACTATGCTTTTTATTTCCCGTCCCGTCCCCGCAACTGGATGAAATCAGTAACCCCTCCGCCGCCTGTCGGTATATCGGAATGGCTTGAGCAGCAGTTGACAAAAAGCGACCGACCAGAGCTTACTAGTGCAAAAGTGGTTGTCTCAGGTGGTAAGTAGATAAAATTGCGCTATGTTGCATTTCACTAACAATATGCATCGTAAATAATGTCTGCGGCGATGTGATACATTTTTAGAATACAGATAATATGATTTAATTCTGAAATATGGTATGTGAGGACAGTGGGAAAGCAGCCACTATTTTTATATTATGAGCAGTGAAAAAATGAAAGTTTAACACATGCTAACAGACATTTTAAGAACATTAACATACCTAGTGGGTCCCTTCAAAATTATAGAAATATCACATATTTTTAGATGAAAATATGTTTTACTCAAAACGACGGCTTGTTACAGCACTCCAAGCATGTTTGTCTAAATTTTAAAAATCATTACGTTCTTTTATTCTTCATGTGTCAAGTGACAAATTGTGATATATACAATTTCTTCATTATTTCACTACAGAATTTTGTACTTAAAGCCAGCAGAGGGAGCACATATTAGTGACAAATTCTGTTTCCCTGATTTAGAGAGTGAGATTGATGATGCTATAGGCAGGAAGTAAACTTGACAGTGGTGTTGGTTTATATATAGGAAATGAAAATATTAATCACGAAGTAGAATCTCTAAAGTGTTAAATATTATTTAGTGTTATGTTCAGAAAAACGGTTGCCTTTGCAAATATAAGCACTAATACAGAAATTCTATGTAGACAATAAAACTTATGACTCATATTCTTAATCTTAATAATCTTAATAAAGCATTCTTTCTTGATCTTTTTTTTTCTTAACTTTTAAGGTTTTTGTTTAAAGAGTGGTGAAAATTTTAAGTTGCTATACGATCTTGCGGATCAGTTGAATGCTGCAGGTAAATTTATTTTCTTTTATTAACCCTGGTTATTATATTATATTATGTTATATTATAGCAGTCGCATTCAAAAGAGTATTCAGCTTACGTCTTTCACTTTCATATCCTATTAAAGAAATTCTTAAAACCCTCGTAACTTAGTCCTGGATAAAATTTTGGTTTGTCCTTGTGATCTGCTATATACTTAATTGCCCATGTATGACACAAAATGCTCAATATTCTTTGCCCTTACCAAATCTCCCAACGCACATACATGCTCACAAACATATGAGTTAAAAAATGTTATTCATTTTGAAGAGTTGATTGTCATATATTCTTAAATATATGACTTCTCCTATCCGGAGTCCCTTTGACAATTCTTTTAGTTTGAATAGTTCTGCCTTTTTGCTATTGTTTTGCATTAACAGAAAGCTGGCTATGCAGTATTGCAGCAAAATAGTCTAAGTAAACAGGTCGAGGAGGAGGAGCTGTTTGCACTAGTATTTTAACTGTATTAGCTTTAGATGCAGAAATAGATAGGTATTTTTATATGAACTGCCTCACAGTGTCCGTGTGGTGTTTTCAAGTTTAGTTGGACATTTTCTTTACGATGCCTGACTTCCGAGCTCTGCAGCAGTGTAAGATGGCATGTGTTCTATTCAGCCTCGGTGGAATGTTATGGAAGGGCAGTTATGGGAAAATTCTCTTTTGACAAAGCAGAGAAAATAATGGAAATATGCCAGACCAAAATGCTCAGTTTTAAATATATGGCCCTTTGGTGCTGGGAATAAGGATTTCCTGTTGCTTATAAAGTGCATTAGCACTTAGCATTTGGAAATTTCGGTTGGTGGTGCAGAGAGGGATTACTATAAGAGCTCTTAAAAGGGAAGTTCCTAAATACGTGCCGTTACAGTATGGGACTCTCCAGTAAAATACACGTGCTTTTATGGTGATATAAATTTGGCTCGCTAATATTTTAAAAGAAAACACTGGAAATATTTTCTTTCAACTAGTTGGAGCTTCCCGTGCAGCTGTCGATGCTGGCTTCGTTCCTAATGACTTGCAAGTTGGACAGACGGGCAAAATAGTAGCACCAGTAAGTATGGAAATCTCTTTCATAAAAAGGCTGTGATGCTTTCCAGTATACTCTTTCCTTCAAAGTGAAAGCTTAGAAATGAGCTAGGTCTTAATACTGAGCCTAGCAGGAAAATCTTAGTGTGTCCAGGGTGATACTGTCACCTGAACATGCATTTGCAAAACTACAATGAGCTGTCATATGAATCTCTACGTTAGGAGAACCTGAAGTCTTTTGCAGAAAGTTTTGTCAAAGTTTTTGCAGAACGGGTTTTTAATAGGGGCTTGAAGTGAACGTTTTGTGGTTTTCTAATGTCACTGATACACCAGAACGTGCCATTGCTAACATAAAATTGAAATTATATTGATATGTGGCTTGATCTCTGAGAATTGGGGTTTGATTTTGGGGGTTTTTTGTTTGTTTGTTTTTTACAGACAGACTAGATAATGATTTTCTGAGTTTTGATAACTGTAACTGGATTTATTGCATTACATGCTAAGCAAACATTTAATGTGAGCCAGCGTGGATTGAGGAGGGATGACTAAGGACACGACTAGGGAATTGTGACTAAAAGCATGGGCAGGCTGTATCTGTCAGATACAGACTTGGGTATAAGCCTAACTCTGCTTCCTTGTGATGTTTTCATTTTGCGCATAATACATAAATGTTACGTTTTTGGAAAGAACATACATCAGCTATAGTCCAAAATCTAATACGTTCTTTTTGTTAAGGGAACGTTTGTATTTAAATATAATGTGCTTTCTTTTGGTCACTAGCTATAAGATTGCTCCAGCTGCAGCTACAGGCCTCATGAAACTGCTCCAACTAAACACGTTCGGTGCAAACACAGTACAGGCAGCTGCAAGGTGTATGGGCACCACAGTACCAGGAGGCAGAGGTGGCTGGCGCAAGGAGGCAGTCTTAGCTGGCTGTCACGTACCCAAATCTTTGAAAACCAGGGAGTGACGTGAGTGTCATTTGGCCCTCCTGAAAGGGCATAAGATGAGAATGACCAGGCTTAGATCTTCAATACCAAAATTTTCATTAATGAAGTAGAAAATGCTAATTTGAGGACAACTCAGCTCAGGTTCATCTCTCTCAAGGCTCAAAGGTGAACAGTCTTTCCAGAGACACAGCATACCATGTAAACAGTTACATTCAAATTAAAAAAGCTAGTTTTTGATGGAGAAATAGTGCTAAAACTTAACCACAAATGGCTCATAGCAACAGGTGAAATATAAATCTACAACCACATCTTGGAATACACAAATGTCATCAGAAAACTCTCTGATGGACTAATGGATATTTAACCATTGTGTTAATAAATGGTCCTAACCAGCGCAGATACAGAGTGCTTCATCTTTTTTATCAGCAGTATAGTGCATTTCTCTCACATCTCCACTCATCCTTCTTAACAAATGCTTATCCAATAAAGTGATATACAGCATATGCACAATTAAACACCCATGATTTCAAATTGTCTGAATGTTTCTGCTACCTCTGACAATACAGACAAGGACAACGTGTGTTGGCATAAAACATTTTCAAGTTTCAATGAGAGTGTTATTTATTTATTTTTTTAAGAAAATAATTCTAGAGTTGCCAGGTAGGGCTTTTTTTTTTTTTTTGGTATGTGTTGTCTAGGGATCTTAATTACGCAAAGGTTCATAGCTGTGCAGTCTTCAATTCACATTCTGCAATCTTGAATTCACGTTCCTGTTTTTACCTCACAGGCATTTTGGTCCTTTAGTTAGGAAACAATTATGTATAGTGGAAGAGATAATTCATTTAAAGGAGCAATAAAAATGGACTCTCTTGATCAGATCAGAATTATACCAACTATTTTAATAATAATCTAGAAGATGTCTGTTTCCTCTTCTTAGGAGAATTTCTTGATATCTGTAGTTCAGGGAGAGAGTTTTACTTAGAAAATTGCAAAGCAGCTCTATACATTGATTAGTTATGTTAGCTGAGTCCTGAGTCTTGTACTTAGTTTTAAACTCGAATTTATGTGGTGCCTGCTCTTCTGGGCATGGGGGCTTCAGGCAGGGAAATCCTGGATACCAGAGACAGTTGGAGTTTGAGACGTGCTTGCTGTCCTATGCAGCTGTTGTTTTGTTTTATGAAGGGAAAGTGTCCTTGCTCTTAGTCTTCTGGTGGTAGTCTCTTGCCCAGTCTCAGTATAGGATTGGAACGCAATCTAAAGGTTCTGAAATTTGGTCGTTTTTGAGAGTTGGGGAGAAGAGTTACTTACGAGAACGGGAGGTTCTTCTCTTGCTGACTTTTGCCCATGACTGCACGGAGAGCATCTCTGTCCCAGTGACTGGGTAAGAAGGCAGTGATCTAAAAGATCCCTTGCGTCTGAGTGTACATTTGATGAAGGAAGAGTGCTTTTGGTCACTGGCCTTTCAGTAATTTCCTGAATGTCTTTTTTAAGGTTAGAGTCCAGATAGTGCAGCACAGGACATGAGAATATTTGCAGGAACAGAAGCTTTCCTGAAATGCTGGTTTATTAATACATGAGCAAACTGCCAGGCAAGAAATTTCTAGGCTTTTTTTTGCCTCACTAACAAAAGAATGCACTTAAATAAGGAGTACAAATATTGCCTTCTTTCTGTTTGAAAATTAGTTCTGTGCAGTTCCCACTTCCTAAATAGCTGGATCTCTAAACTGTGAGCTTCCATTTATGTTGGCATTCATGCCTTGCCCCCCTGCCCCGGATCTTTTGGATTTTTTCTCTTTTGTAATTTTATTTGTCATCTTAAAATGCTGGAGTGTGTTACTCTTGTTTCTTGTTGTAGCTTTTTTACCCATTGATTTCTTGATGACTGCAACTCTCCATTTGAGCATTGTGTGTTATGAAAGAAAAGGCTGGTGTGTATTATCAGAGGAGATGGAAGAAGTAGTTTAGGTATAAATAAGTGCATATATTAAATAAGTCTGAGCAAAAATATTATCTTCCTAGTATATCATGTTTTTAATCAGGATCATTTTTATTGTAAGAAGCCTTTTATGGGGGGATAAAGTACATTATGTCTGTTACTTATATGAATGGAGCATGGGTATTTCTATTATTAGTTCTGTTTTAGGTTTCCTTATCCAAATTATAATTAGTGATATTGCTAAGGTAAAATAAATAGTGTGTAATCTTTCTTGCTTAATTTCAGCCTAACACTTAAATGAGAAAAACTTCCAGCTCTTGTATTTCAGCGCAGTGAGTCTTTGTGCAGACTGGGAGAGGCGAGAAGTTGTCGTGAGCCTTAAGTGGCTTCTCCTGCTCCTTGGGCTGTGAGTTGGCGTCCATGGGGCAGGTCTGCGAGGAAGGGGCTGGCAGGGGCTGCTGCACTGCTGAGGAGATGGCTTTACTGGGAGCGTCCGACCTCTGCTTGTTGGGTAGTGTAACCCCTGCTGTAATTATTTCCGTGTTTCGAAGTCCGTGCGCTTTCAGGGTCTGGCTCACTAATTGCTTTAGCTTTCTTTTATGTTTTCTTTAGCTGGCGACAGGGAAGAAGTGGCCACACCACTATTCACAATTTTAAGACTAAAGGGGTCCATCTAGGATTAAACATCCGTGTGCCACGGTGAGACAGTGTCACCGTCCCCGTGTCAGATTTTATTGCAAGGTTCCCCCTGAGGGGGCACCCAGCAGGGTCAGCACAGCCAGGCACGACGCTGTCTTTGCAGCACCCCTGTTCAGCTGCTGCTCTCTTGTTGTTTTCAGCACTGGGTGCAAAATGCTGTTCCAACAGAAGGGTGACAAGGAGGGGAGAACCCGGGAAAGCAGGAGTTGGAAAATACGTGATGCAGTAATAATTGACAGTGGATTAGATGATTGAGCTAGAAATGTGATATGATTACACAGAAAGTGGTTGCATTTGGATATTGCCTGTACTGAGAAGTCTCAGGTGGGGAAGGCAGATGGGAATTCTGTATAGTTCTGTTACAACTTGCTGGCCTGCCAGTGCCTCCGCTCCCATTTCACACCAGAAGGTCTCCGTGGATATAGTGGATTGCAGGATTGTGAGGGAGGCAGATTTACAGCTCTCATGAATTGACTTAATGACTCAAACTGAAGCAAGTTAAAGAGGTGCAGCTTGTGCGGAGGAGTGAGATGTTAGGTTTGAGTAGTTGAAAGGCACAAATGCCATGGAAGAGCAGGAAGAGCTTGCTGTGTGTTAGGTAGAAAACAGGAGTGGGATGAAATTGCAAGATGGAAAAAGCAGGCTGGATATCAAGGATGCATTTGCTAGCAGTGCTGTATATTAAGCCATGAAATAATATTGCAGAGCAGCTCCATATGTTTCACAAAGTGGTGGGACACGTTCATAACTTGTAGGTACCAGGGTTTTGCTGCATGGTTCCTTTCCCTGCAGTGGGACTTCTGCAGCCCCAACACTGGGACCGGCAGGAAGGGGCAACCTGTGTCACATCATTTACGTGATTCCTGTGTTTCCTACTTCTCTGTATTAGGTGGCAAAACAATCAAATATTTTTGCCTAGTGTTTTTTTGTTCTTTTTAAAATTCATGGGTGACTCATGGTTGTATTGCTCAGGTGGGTACGGACACTTTTTCCAGTATTTCTTCCTATTACTTTCGTAGGGATTATTTGCCCAAGTTAGTTTATCTGTTACCTCCCTTCAGTCTTCTATGTGAAAGTGTGGGGAAACAGGAACAAGATATGCTTAATTCCAGTATTTCTGTGCCTTTTTTGGTCTCTGATTCGTATCTAAAGCTACTAATTCTAGAGTGAACTAGTTAATTCCCATAGGTTCACAAGAGTTTGTCATCTGTGCCATCTTGTGCATATTCATTTCAAAAATGTTCTTCTCCTTGATTATCAATGGCAAAACCTTCATTTGTTTCAAAACATGGAAGAGAATATTGAGCTGCAGAAGCCCCTGAAATCTAAAACACAGTAGGTTACTGGATTTTCCATACCTTTGGCTAGCTTTGGCTAGCTTTGGCTAGCTTCTTTGTGGGAATGTGTTACTTTTGCATTACATTTTTTTTATTAATAGACTGGCAGGTGCACTTGTTATTGTATAAATGGCTGAGTTGAGGCCAGTGGGTGGTTGGCAGATGGGAATAGCATTGGGAAAACTGACCATGCTTGGGAAATTGTTTTTGGAATATCTGCTCTGATAATTCACTGCTGTTGAAAAGTAGCTATATGGTGGCAAACTTCAGAGAGCTGTTTGTATGCAGCTGGGACTGAATTTACAGACTACCTTTCTCTGACTTGCTAAAAAGCTAGGGATTGACAACCCCTTTCATCCTGCATTATCCAGTGTAGCTTTTAACTCCAAGAAAACTATGTTCACAAATTGATGCTCTGCTCCTCTGGGGTTGGTGCAGAAACATTAAATTGTACTAAAATATTCATATGTGAGTGCATTTAGCTGAAAGCAATTGATGTGCTTTTCCCTAGAGAACAAAAAAAAAATGCTGTATGGACCTGCACTCCAGCAGACACCCTAACCGCGCTTCTTAAGAGTAATTACATGGCTTGGCTGATCAAAGGGTCTTAAAGTGAAAAAGAAATTGTTCATGGGATGCTGTTTAGTACTGTGAACTTCTGAGGGGAACCTATTCGACAGAGTAGTAAACACTGCATAATCATTTGATACACAGCGTAATATCTGCGAACTAATGTCAAGCCAGAAAATATTTTAGTGGGTTAATAGCTTGTAATTGGAAGGAATCTGTTGTGTGAAGTAATTTTCATTAGAGGGACTTCTTTCCGGTGCCATTCTCCTTTCACTCTTACAAAGAAAATAAAATATCTGAGCTGTCTTTGGAAGAGTACGTGTTCCAAAGGGGTTCATTAAACTAGCTGTTTAAAAGCATGCCACTGGTATGATGATGAATTGATGTGTGCTGGAGCTTTTCAGTGTAATTCAAAAGTTGGCATAAAAATCAATAGCAGTGGACAGCACACTTGCAAAGAAACTACCTCGTCTTGCGTTGCACCTGGGAAAGATGCACAGCAGTGCATTATAGCGTCCAGAAGTTCCAGCTAACAATTATTCTGTCTCAAGCAAATGTAGCTTTTAAATGCTCTAAGGCAGCCTAAGGCATTTTAAAGTACTTTTACAAGTAAAAAAACAGATTATTCTAAAGATAATTGAAAGAAGCAGTATGCACAGGAAAACAGCTGCGTTGCTAAGATGCTGACCATCCTTGCAGAGCACTCTGGTGACATTTGTCCTAGCTGCAGGGGGGCGGCCACACGAGCTCTGGAGGCAGCTCCGCGTCCCCCGGCCTGACCGCAGTGCCGGTCCGTGAGTGGGGTCCAGGGACCCGGGGGCAGCAGTTCTGAGCACGGCAAGGGGAGCTGCCCGAGGGATCAGGGAGCCACGGCTCGCCCTGGGAGAAGTGCCAGTGTCCACGTTTCTGAAGGTTTATGGAGAAAACAGTGCAGCGCCAGACTGATACCTTACATAGCAAATGACAAGTCAGGTGCTTGATTCAAACTCTTGTTTGTAAGTAAGATAAACTGGGGACTTTGTGTTTTGTTTCTTTTTAGGGTTTTTATGATGCAAACCTGCGCCTACAAACTCTGAGGTCTCTCCCGGGCTCCTGGCTCTAGTGGGATACCGTGTTGCAGGACGAGTTAAGACACTGTTGCTACTGCCACGTGGCTGGCAGAATCCCCTTGGCTGCTGCCATGGTCCTTGCGGGAAGCCTGGCGGGTATTGTACGTGCTGATGCCATCTCCTCCTGTGTTTGCAGAGCACATCTTCCATTTTAACCATTTTCTGTTTGCTTGTGTTGCT